TTGTTTTCACGTTAACTATATGTATTTCTGACTCTCATTTTCCGTCTTTTCTCCCTTCAGATGATGCTGAAGTACAAAGATAAGAAGTGGTACCAGCTCTGATGGCAGCGTGTGGAGCATCGGACTCTGTTATCAAGCAAACACCAGTGTCTCTTAGGAGCTGCAGGTCCCTCTTCTCTATTTCTCTCCACGGGGGGTTCTGCTCAACAGACTCATGCTTTTATTCTCAGCACAATATCATAAACTCTGCATTACCTCAGCCACCGGAGGACTGCCGCGGAGTAGACACTGGCCGACCCAACGTAATGAGAATGGAAAGAAATGGAAGAAGAGAAGCCCTTAGGAATCTCTCTTTCCATTTCACTGGAGAGCGATGATGTTCATTTAACATCAGTCTGCAGAACAGGAGAGAGGGGACCATTCATATCCATCAGTCATGCACTCATATATATCTCATATATATATCTACACACCCTGCTGTTTTGTTCTGGAAGAGGAAAGACAATTCTGCAAAACATGTACTTGTGGTGGCCTGATTGCAATTGTTCTCTTTTCCTTTCTCTACCCTTTATGGTGTCTGCCAAACACAGTGGACATAAATGAGGAGAAAAGTCTGATGACCCCTGGTCCTTCAAGTCTAATCAAGTCGATGAAGATTTCTATAGGAATGATTGAATCAATGAAGGACTCGTGTATGTTTGTTTTTCTGGTCTAAATTATTTGTTAGAGTTTGACCTCTGTCCTTTTGTTAGTCTGTTTTTGTCATTTTGTTTTGTCCAGAAAAGGGCCTTTCAAGCACTTAAAACCATAGAGAATAGACAGGGAGATGATGAATCTATTGCCTCTCACCGAATAAGGGCTGGTAGTACGCTAGTTCATCACCGACCATTCCTTTTACAGCATTTCCAAGTTGTTTTAGGTGAGAAAGAGAAATGGCGTGTTTTCTGAGACTCACTTTGGTTTTTATTTTAAATTTAGATTATTTATTGGTAACAGTATAATGGATAGGAAGTTAAAATAAGTTTGAATGATGGGCATTCATTTTTATTTTTTTCCTTTGTCAATCAAATGCGCTAAAAAGTGCTGAAAATGTTTACCCCCCCGATGAAGAGTTTACATTGATCTATCAGAAAAATGAAGAGTTGATACACTGGAAAACCCCTGAAGGTCTCCTATTGTTCTAGCTTTCAAAGGGGCTGTAGCTAAGTCACGTATGAGAAGGATAATGTTTTTAAGGGCAAGACAGAGATTGTCCTCAATATGATTAGCATAAATGTATATTTTGGTTACAGTTTTGTTTTTTGTGATAAAGATTGTATCTATACATGATTATTCAGATTTCTTTCTTCTTTTTTTTTTTGCATTCTGTCATAGCTGAAGTTGATTTCCGTCTCGTTTCTCAATGTGTAGGGAAAAAAAGCATGTGTCTCTTACAGCACAATGGAAATGGTAATGCTGTCTTTGTATTCATAGCTGCCAGTAGAAATGACCAAGCACCACAGAGTGTTCCACACAGTGCCATTGGTCATCTCTCTCTGAACCATTCACTTCTCTTCTGCCTTTGCCTCATGATGCATATATGCTAACCTCTACCTATGTGTATGTCTGTGTGTTTGTGAACATACATATATTCAGGAATATGTGTATGGGCGCCAATATTTATAGTACTACATAGATACAGTGTATTACAATAGGTCTTTTTGAGGTTTTTGTTTTTGCTTGACAGTGTTTTTCAATGTGATTAGCTAGAATTCTATTGTAATTAGATTTCTTTTTCATGAGGTGCAAGGATATGCTGCTATTTGTGTCAATGTAGGAGCATTACCTGTTGGTCTTTTATTTTGAAAAAGAGAGACAAGACTTTGTCAGTCCAGATTGCTGCCAAATGTTGTAAATAACGGGACAGCTGGACACAAATCTGACAGTGCAGGTTCAGGCACCGTGACATACTGTACGCTTGCGGCCATGTTCTTTTCCGACACCAAAGAGTTGCTTAATTTCACAGAGTTGTCTTGATTTTTCCCAAAATGGTAAGAGTCGGTCTGAATACTTTGGACAGCATTCTTAAGTCAAGAAGTCTACTGTGTATAGGGGGGCGGGGGGTAGTAGATTGGCTTTAGCTTCTTCTTATGGGCATACCACCCTCAATACCCAAACTGCTGTACATGTGTTGGACAGGCAAAGTGAATTTGAAGAGTTTCATTCCAAAATGAGATATCCACCAAAGAAAATCATGAAAAAAAAAACAACTCATGGAAAATGGTTGCAGGCATAATGTAAAAACTGTTAGAAGTTATGATCCATTTTCTTAGATTTTGAAGTATTAAATCGTGTATGCTTAGGAGATGTTGAGCAATCAATTACACCAAAAATGTTATATCCAAGATGGATATACAGCATTTTGGAATAAAACCCTTCATTTTTTTTAAGCTGGCTGATTTTAATCTTCTCTACTGTATACTACTGAGATAAACCCATTTCAAAGAGCAGTTATGTGGGTTTTGCACTATTTTTTGTACTTAAAATAATTTTGTTAGTATGATTTTTAGTGTGTTCATTTTTCTTGTCCCATTTTCTTATTTTTGAAAGGACCAAAACATGACAGAACCTATGCTTATTTATGTCATTTGCCAATTATGCTGATTGCTTCACTCTCAGATTTGTTTTCAATGTCAGGTTAATGATACTATGATATATTTATATATTTGAAAACAAATATATATATACTTTTAATTTCAACAATCTATTAAAAATTAATACCTTTAATGTAATTTTTTGGGATAGAATAATTCACATTAATGTCCAAAACAATGGTTGTGCATAATTATCCATCATCCAGACACGACAATAAACATTTTCTGGTTAAATATTGAACATGCTCATCACAGATTCAAGCTTTGCTACTGCAGGAGGATCTTCTCCTCTTGGTGGGCCGCTGAGTCTTTCTACAAAGTGTGGCCTCGACTTTAAAGTGCTTCAGTTTGCAACATATATGTCCTAAATGGTCTCTTATTGCACATTGAAGGATGCATGATATTAAGTGTTTACAAACTTGAAACAACCACGTATTATCCCTCTTAGAGATTGTCTCTTCTGACATTTGTATTTACCACCAAGTTGAACAAAACTCAAGTTCTCATCGCACAGGAGAAAGCGCGTCCCATTTTCATTTGATCATGCCAATTGTATAAGTGTGAGAGAATATATTTATTTTATTGGTACATCTGTTTGTTACTGTTTTGCTTCATGAAAGCTCTTGCTTTCCCTGCGCTGTAGAAATGCATAGAAAGCGAAAGCTAGGGCACCGTGCAGGAGAGCTTAAGGGTTTCTCAGTCACCATACTTCCACCCATCCATCTGTCTGTCTTCTGGGATGAATATCTGTGGAGTTGCAGTATTTTCTCATAGTAGGCAATTTTTGTACAGTTTTATTAAAATAAATTTCACATGGATGTCTGACTTAATCTGCTGCCACAAACAATTTAGACTGTAGATACCGTATATATATATATATATATATATATAAATATATATATTATTGTGCAATGGAAAATAAATGTAAAACCAAGCATAACCTGTTTCGTCTTGTTTTTTCAGTTTCACGTTGTCCTGTTTGCTCATTTGCTCTTCATTTAAAAATGTATGCGTCACTGATTCTTACATGGGAATTATCTAAGGACATGTCCATACTAAGGTCGGAGGTCAGTGTCAGCTATAGATTAAAAACCCCTTTAGCTCCAACATTGCCTTGATCATCCTGAGGGACACCCTGCTGCCTCCCCACATATTACCACTAATAATTGTGTGCACAATTACAATTATGTATTACAGTTTTATAATTGAGAGACTATTCATCTGAGCAAAGTGGCTCAAATAATTTTTTGTTGTGACTTTTCACATAGACATTTTCAGACATTATTTTGCAGGCAAACTTCAAGTTGTGGAAGATTTGCTTTTCTTGGACTAGTTTTAATTAGAGATGCACATATATACACTGGCATACCATAAACTGTAAAAAGCAAATTATTTTAGTGCCAATATTTGTTCTCACAGTTTATTCTTACAGACTTTAACTTTTGTATACATTTGTTCCCATAATAATATATCACTTTTTAAAAAAAAAAGTCTAAATATGTATGTATTTATGAGTATTTCCATTACTAATTCATTTTAATTTTGTATTTTATGTGGCCAGAATAAATAATAATGTTTTATGTATTATTTATTTTATTTGCATGTATTTTTATCATTGGTTTCATTCTATTTTAAGTAATTTCATCATCAAGATCACTTTACTACTCACGGGTCCTACATTTCCCAGAATCCCCTGCAGGTGGCGCTGAACTCCCGTCATCCAGCGGGGTTAAATAAAAAAGAAAAAGCCCCCTACAGCAGTGAGTGAAGCCGAGGCTGAGCATCATCCTCACACCGACTCAACCGGCGGAGGGACGGCAAAGTTAAATACGGCGAAAGCTAGGCACAAAGTCAGCCACAACAAGTGCACTCTGAACAGGTAGAGGACATTTTGTATTATTTTTGTATATTTTTTATAGTAATTAGTTATATAAATTTAAATATATATCGCTGAGGCTTCACCGTCAACCTTTACATGTTTTTTTTTTTTTTTTCGTTGCTCCGGATGAATGTTTGATGGACCTGAGCGTCTGTAGCGATGAATGAGACAAAGAGGAAGGGTGCAGACGACTGTTTTATATTCCGGGTTTTCATCTTTAACAGAGGATAACTTCACCGAAATGTGGTCAACTCCATTAAAAGCTTTTTTTTTTTTTTAAAACACCATTTAACTTCGCGATTCCGTCGACGACAGAAAAGTACGTTTAACCGTTAAATGTCAGTTGAGCTTTCGTTAACTCGCCGTACTAACCGTTAACATGCTTTTAACGGCTGACTAAGTTAAATTAGGGACTCTGTTTGGCTTTAAAAACAGCCACAGCTCCTTCATGTAAAGAGGGGGGGGGGACTAACTTACGCCGCCAAGAGGGGCAACAAGAGAGGGGGGCCAACTGTCTGCACTGTGTTTGCTCAAGGGAACTTCAGCAGGGCAGATGTGTCAACCAGGGTTGGAGAGGAGTTAAAGGTGTCTCCAGCCTTCATCCACCCTGCTGTCTCCAAATATGCCCTCATTGTGTTTTCTGTTGCTCTGGCCTCCACTAATAGATGTGTCTAATGTGGAGAATGAGCCCCAGGACTGTGTGTAAGAGGGTGGGAGTTACATGGAGCTGCACAAAACCCTCAGCAGCAGTGTTAATGGATATGATGATGATGTCCATTTAAGGTAGGCCCTCCTTGTGTATACATATACAGCCTGTTTTTTTTTTTTTTTTTTTAAAGATGAGCCAAGGGCCAAAGCTCGTCCTCGAGTGGCTGTCGAAGCTCCACCTGGCCCAGTATGTGGAGTCATTCATTGACAACGGGTACGATGATCTGGAAGTTTGCAAACAGATCGGGGAGCCGGACCTCGATGCCATAGGTGTCAACATCGAGTACCACAGAGACAGGCTGCTCACGGCGGTGCAGACACTTAAAGATGAGGACAAAGGGAAAGCGCCTAGCTACTACTTCACCTTAGAGCCTCTGGATTCTACTTGCAACCACTCTCCGCACTCGAACAGAGAAGATGACTTTAGACCTTTGGGGTCACACTCACAGACCGCAGGAATACACCAGGCCTCCTGTCCTGGAAACCATAACCCGAGAGAAACAGATTGCAATGACTTTGTGACTTATCCCAAACTGAAGCTCAAGGTACTGATAAGGGATAAACTCGCAAAAGATGGAATCAACCTGGGAGAAGCACCATACACCTATAAGGTAATTCATTTCCCTTCCTTTTCTAATGCTGTGTTGATACTAAATGCGGGCTCTTTAAGCGCTGTCTCAGGGAATTTAACACGCTTACTGTGTTATGGTTGTGATGAAGAGTGTGACAAATTTCTTTGATGGTGCTGACGTCCACTGATTCTTATTTATTGCTCCAAGGATGCTTTGGTTTCTCTGGCAAAGGTCTGCTGAGACGTCATTGTAGTGCGTTGTTAAATTTCACTGCAGGATCAGCGGGCCCGGGCAACAGACCCGTAAGCAATTATGGGTTCTGATTGGCATGTTTTCTGCTGAGTGGGTGGGTCGTGAGTGGATCTTCGGATCTTAAAAATGGTAGTAAATGTTGTTAAAAAATTTTTTAATAGGTTTAATGTAGTCTAAGCAAATCTGTAATACAAATAGAGCTTAGTTATCATCATTTTATGATATTCGCTGTATTCCAACAGTTGTTTTTAAGTGTGTAAATTTACTTTTTGCTGTACATAACAACATTTTATACAATTCACAGAATGCCATTCAATTAGCAGGAATGGGAACAAACTTGTTGCATTCAACTGTGGGTTCACAGCTTTCCTTAAAAGACAGTATGTTGCTGTGCCATCATCCTCTATTGTTACTATTTTACCACACAAGATAAATGATTGGTCTGTCACGTGGCTTCCTTGCATTATAGTCTATGAAGGTATAGTTGATTGAGTAGTAGTAGAGCAGTATTTCTGCCTCTTATCTCCTGGCTTTCTCCCAGTACTGTGTGATTGTTAAAAGGTTGGTACCAAAGTGAGTCAAGAAAGAAGCCGTTGCACTTTCACATCAAAACCAGATGTTTAGCAATAACATCTGTGCTATCAAACAGTGCTAATATTTGGGCATAATATCATGCTGTAGGGTGATATAATGGGTTGCCCATTAGTTGCAAGTTCACCAGTTGGATCTACATGGCAAAATGTTGCTCCTGATGGTTACCTGTGCGTTGCGATTCAGTTTACCATGGCATCAGTGTTTGGCCAGTTGTGCTGGAATGAGATTAAACACACCACAAAAAAAGACAAAGAACAGGTATAGTATTTTAAGTGTTATAGGTTAAATTTCTGTTGGTGTGTAGCTCGGCTCGTAACAGCATCCATGGTAGATCAAAACATAAGCCATACACTTTGAACACATAACCAATGAACAAGAGTTAAAAATCAAGGTCAGAGAGACGATGGATCAGTCTTGATGACAGATGTTTACTCCACAGACGACAGCACGCTATTTTATTCCTGGGGATCTTCTCTGTTTTGACAACTGTCCAGTCTGTGTTGACTGCAGAGACTGTTACTTAATGTAATTGCAGAGGATAGTTATTCCGCTTTGGCATCAACCAAATCCCTTCCTTCCTTAATACACTCAGCGAATGGTCTGAAGCCAGCCACATGAAAAATTGAGTGGCACATTTGGCTTACTTTCACCAATCTGTCGCTGATACATGATTGATGGATTCTGGATTTGATTATATCAGAGAAAACTGATGTTTCCCATTAGACAATTATGATACACTGGTGTTAGATATCTGTTTCAGCTATATTGTAACAGACTGTCAGAATAAATCCCTGCTCAGCACCACTGTCAGACATGAGAGAACTTCCTCTTTTTATGCACGTTTATACTGTTCTTGGTTTTGTCTGTCCTCAGCAGATACAAGCTTAAAACGCTGCTCATCAACAATGAATGACTGCGGTCTGAGAGACTTGTGAGCCAGGTGCAGTTTTTTATTGAGCTGATCTTTGTGTCATAACAAATCAAAGAGAATACTTAGTCTGCTCTACTAGAGTGCCTTTACACAGCCCTTCTTATCCTGCACTCTTATGTATCCATATGGAAACCTGTGCACTGTTTGGTGTATTCTCATTTATTATAATAATAACAATCTAATTGTAAAAATATCATTTTTATCCCTCTGCAGTGCCATTAGCTTTAAAATAGTTGCACTGTACCAACTGTTCTGTACGGTTCTGGCCAGTTTCACAGATGCACGCATATACTGTTCATGAAAAATTCAGAGGCTATAAACTACTAAGTGCAAAGGCACTCTGTGGTTCACATCCAACCTTTTTGTAGGTTACAGCCAGTACTAGCACAGTTAGATTCACCCAAAAGTTTGTTTATTTCTTTAGACATAAAAGCATCACCAGAGCTGGAGTTGGTAGAGCTGTACTGGGGTTTAAGTTCATTCTCAGGGCAAAAGATCTTACAGTAGTGAATGGGATAGTAGCTACGCTTTGTGCTTGTTTTTTGCACTAACAAATCTGTTATGTTTAACTTCTCCAGCCTTACACTGTGTGGTTAACATTGTGTCCTCCTGCCACATTTCTGTAGGAAATAGGCCAACCTTTAAGTTTAATCTTTGAATTTATGGTGTGAATATTGAGTACTTGCTTTGGAGCATCTCATCAGTTAAGAGCTGATTCTAAAAAAGAAATCGAGTGAGATCGTGGCTCTGTGTGATAACAGCATTTTAGAGTAGTTTGGCCTTTCAGGTTCATCAGATTGAGTCCATTAAAATGGTTGCAGAATACAGGTATATAGGCCAGTGTGGCCCATTTTCTCACCAGTAATAGCATATGGCAGCTTCAGGCTAAGTCTGGCTCTGCCAGCTATTCTTTGCTTTAATTTGTGCAGAACTGAGCCAAATATTTGTATAATTTTGATATACTGATATTGTCTCAGATTTGTTTTATTGTAATAAAATTCAAAATACAATTCATTGTTGTCTTTTTCTGTTCTTATTGGCCAGATACCATAAAGTGTACGTAACAAAGATGTAAGTTGACATTGATTTGAAAGTCTGTGTTGTATTAACACACACAAATATAAGTATATATAGCATATAAACAAATCCATTTCAAGCAAGTGTCAATTTTACACATGCTTGGTTTTTATAAAACACATTAATGAATGGAAAACATTGGCAAAGACCTTTCTCAGGAGAGTGAAGACTGTGAGGTACATCCCTCTATATTATTCTATAATTCCAGTTGCTCTGGTTAATAAATTGTATATTAGAATTAAATGCTTATGAATTCATCCTCATACCATACCGTCATACTTCTGTAACCCCCTATTGGCCTTGTTTGTGTTTAATCTAGGTGACATCAAACAACACTATGGTGTTTCCTCGGGCCATATTCTGTCTGCAGTTGAGGAATTGCAGTGGTTTGCATATGTAGTCCCGAATTATCTCTGCCTCTCAGTCTGGGTTTGGAAGTGCAATCAATTCCCAATGAGCAGGGTGAATCTCTGACTATTCTGTACGCCTGACTAGTTCACACACTCCCGCAGGACCTATTAGAGACTGAGAGAGAGAGAGAAAAAAAAAGTAATGTGATAGAAGCTGGTTGAGCTGTAAATGACCTAAACACTGGCACCATGACGAGTGTTTCGTTGAACACGAATTGTGTATGAAGGATTTCTACAAAATAGATCATGGAATAGCAAAATCCAACCTAAAACAAAAATTCCCAAGACATCTTCACACATTCTAAAACAAAAAATAATCTTGCCTTGTGTACATTTAAAATTTGGTTGTTAACTTCAGCAATACCTATTTAGATGATTAACAAGCTTTCTAGACGTTGTATCAAATGATTAGCTTTCTCGTTGCACAGCAACGCATACGTTATATTGTTCATCACACCCAGACCCTGTTGGGTATCCTTCCCTTTATAGCTGTCCTAACAAAGGGCTCCAAATCCTCTAGAAGGCCTCATTGCAGTGCCTGGCCTGAAAAACATCCTCAGAATGGGCAACAAATCTTGGTTGTTCAGAAGATTTCCCTGTGTTGCTCTGGCAGAGATTGGAGGACAAGCAAAACCAGCAGGCCGCTTTTGACAGAAGAAAAGCCAGTCTGAATAGAGCCCGGCTAAATACAAGTTCTGCTGCAGCTGACAGCTGTCGCTCCCTTTGTCACTATAAAATGGAGACTGAATAGAAGTGTTTTTGTCAAACAAAGTTGGTTTTAAAAACACCAGCACCTATCTTGCTGTTAGGACCAGTGCAACATAATGCGGAAGAGGACCTGTAAATAAATAAGAGAAGTGGTTTTGTAGTTCAGTTCAATTTTTCTTCTGTTTCACTTCAGTGTTTCATCCTTATCACCTTTCAAACAAAGCAACTTGTTATCTGGGTGAGGATTTAGTTAGTACTGCTGCCTCAAAGGAACAAGTTCCTGGGTTTGAGGTCAATTGTCTCTCTCTGTCAGACAAGTTAGATGAACCGGAAACTGTAAATTGCCCATAGGTTTGTGTGTAAATCGTTGTCAGTCTATATGTGTCAACCATTCAATAGCTTCTCGCCTAGTATGAGGTGTAATGGGTTCCAGCCACCCCCATACCCTCCTCAGGGTAAGTTTGTACATAGGATGGATGCATAGAATAACCTGTTGTTTGTTGTGTAATTTACTGACTTACGTGTCAAACATGCTTGTAAAGGTGGAGAATATGGATAAAAATAAGTTAAATAAGATATTTTAAACTACCTCCAGAACGACTTGACAACTACGAATCTGTAAAATAAAAAATAAATTGCGAATATGCTAAACTTTTAACTCATCAGCGTTATAGGGATGCACTCATCTAACCGAGTGGGTTGGTATTGATGTTGTTACAGACCTTATTAGGCAAATTGATTAGCCAGATCCAATCCGCATTAGTGCCACTATGATATTCTGTGTTACTGTTACTGTTACTGGCAGCAGACCATCATCTCTCTTTTTAGTGCAACATCAATCCCTGGCCTCATGTCACCCTACATAAAAATACCCATTGTACTTTATGCAGTGATATGCAGTGATGTACACATTATGAAGTGTACTGTTATCAGATGGGTATGAAATATTGGCCTGTTGGTGTTGAGGTGCCAGAATCTCTACTGAGACAGAAAGAGACGGATCTCTAAATTGTCACTCATCACGCTGCTCACTTGAATATTGCTGTTGAGCAAAGGCAACAAGACAG